TGGGAGAAGTAGTAGATGGGAAAACATACCAAACACTAATTATTCAAAGTAAAGTATTTTATTTTATATACGGTAATACTAAGGAGGCATAGGCCTATATGATGATATAATGTTTGACATTATTGATATTAAAACAGTGATTTGTTTTCCATGTCATTCGTGTGTTTTTCTTATAAAAAAGTGAAGTTATTTATTTGTAAGCTCCAAATCCAAATGTTTCCCTCAATGGCCTTTGTGCCCTGGCATGTGGCCTTTGCGCCCTGAAAAAATGTGTGACTCCAAAGGCCAAATGGCCTTGCCCCTAAAATGACGAAATTCCAAGCCTGGAACAGATGCCTTCCTGTATAATATAAACTTGCTGAAATGAATTAGTTCTGACATAACTTAACCCTCTTATGCCAGCTTCTGTCTACTGACATTAAAAATCTCTGTCTTTCTGTATTTGCAGGGGTCCTATATGGCTACAGTGTGAAGAGTGCCTGAAGTGGAGAAGCGTCCTGTCAAGTCATTACAATACGATCCCTGAGAACTGGAACTGCAGCCAGAACCTCAACCCTCGCTACAGGTGTGTATTCCTCATTATTGCTGTCCTTTGATTGGACATATGACTTCAAATGTTAAGAGAGATATCATCAACATATTCTATTTATCACAAATTAACGAGATTACATCATTATTTCCAAAAGTAACTGTTTTACAAGTCGACACAAAAGCAAATAATTTCTTAGTGACCTAAAATTATATTTACATGTTGAAGAGGTGGAAGTATAGAGGAAAATCTATTTAAAGGTGTCCTATCATGCAAAATGCACTTTTTGATGTCTTTTATACATAATTAGGTGTCTCTGGTGGGCCAGGGAACTCACAAGGTGTAAGAAAACAAAACCCTCTCTTTTCCTCCGTACCCAAATCCCTAAAAACGGGGGTACAACGGAACTGATCCAGATTTGCGTCCGATATGACGTAATATCAGAAATGCAGACCCACGGCACTATCAGAAACGTTGCTATCAGAAACAATGCCCAACGTGTTTTGGACATAATATGGGCTTTATTTACACTAGCAAGCATCGCTAACACTCAGAGCTAACCTGTACTGGAGAGAGTATGTGTAAAAAAGCAGGAAATAAAAAAAGGAACTCACCTTGTGGTAAACCCGCAAGAAAGAAATCATTTGAGCTCCATACTGTTTCAAAAATAATCCTTGATGTGATTTGGAACATGATATGGCGTTTAATCACGGCAGCATTTAGCTTTATCTCGTAGAATTCTGAGCAGGCACAAGCTCCCTCTCCTCTTTTTTCGAAGCTAAGGACCCAGATCAGCAATTCTCTAAGGGGTGAAACAGAGGGATATGAGGGATGTCTAAAATGCCTGATCTGTTTGTATTTTGAGCAAAACACATCATAGACATGTTTTTTATATATTTTTATATATCTGAGACCCATATGCCTACAAATAGCATAATAGGACACTTTTAAAACATATCTGTATAAATCAGGACAGGGCTTGATGCGTCACATGTTTCGGCAAAAGCATCCCCTTCTCAAACCTGTACAGTACTGTCTATAATATAGTCTTTAAATGCTCAAAAATAAATATGTGATGATGACATGCTTATCGCTCTAATTCATTTACAAGATGCAAAACCTCCCTACTTTAATCTGTCTAACCTAAACACGGAAGTGTGTGTGTGTGTGTGTGTGTGTGTGTGTGTGTGTGTGTGTGTGTGTGTGTGTGTGTGTGTGTGTGTGTGTGTGTGTGTGTGTGTGTGTGTGTGTGTGTGTGTCTCACATACATGTCTTGCTCATACATGTCTCTTGGTCTTTCAGAAGCTGCTCTTCACCAGAGGAAGCAGAAGACAGCGAGGAGATGTTAACACCCAGCTACCAGAAAAACCACAAGAAACAGTAAATTCTCATTTCTTTTCTGCAGACCTCTCTAAATTGTGAGATGAACTTGTACATGGTCAGATGTTTAACAGAGCTTCTCTTCCTGAAAGCATACGTGTGTATATGTTCTCACGTGCCATTTTGTGGTTTCCCTCTGGCGGTTTCACACTCTTATTTCCGTTTCACTCGACTGTGGTATAGAGTTGCTCTGACAGTGATCAACGGAGACGGACTGAAATGAGAAAGCAGTCAGTTCTTCACAACACTGTGCCTTGTTACTTTACTACAGTAAATTCAAATACATATTATTCTTCCTAGCTACTTTTCTATACAAGCAGAATTTAAAGTTAATTAACAGTTGAAAATATATTAAAAGATTGACTAAATGTTCTAAACTATACACTTTTGTATTGCTGCGATGTGCCACTTGCCATTGGTCCAGTGCTATTACCACTTCCCTAGTAACAGATCGTCACCCTAGCAAGTGGAGACAACACAGCCAATCAGAAATAAGCTAGTCATATTTTCATATTTTCTGGCTGTTATTGTGGTACACTGTAACTTACCTATACATCTCAAGTGTCAAAAGGCTTTGGAGCAGTAAGCACTACTGGAGCTAGGGCAAAAATGTAAAATCAAATAAATATATACAGTATATAACTTGAAGATAATCTGCCCTCTCAACTCATTCATCTCTTATTTTTCCCTGCAGAGAGCATCCAAAAAAAAGAAAACGAGAAAAGTCATTGGAGGTTTGTAAAACTTTTTGGGCAACTTTCCCATTGATGAAAGTAGCCGTTTGCTATTCAACGTCTCGATATATTGTGTATACTGTAAGTGTGTTTGCTTGTTTTTGTCGCAGGTATCTGAGTTTCAGGACCAATCGCTTCAACATCAAATCCTCTCACGCAGTTCATCAGAGCCGAGCCGGCCCACTTTCCAGTCCACACACACACCTGATGACACTAGAGCAGCAGGCCAACGCACACAACACACAGAGGAAACCCCAGCGGAGCGAGATCCGACGGGCACAGATCCCCTGGCAGATTATTATACAGACACACATGACGATGTACAGACACAAAGTACAGTCATACAACGCAGGCCTGTTGGAAGAGGCACAGTTATTAAAGACAAAACACAAGTCACACAAAGTGAGACTCATGATCTCAGGCTCGGAGATAGAGAGAGCCCGTTGAACATGAAGAAAAGAGTAGAGGAGCCCACATTAAGGTATGTTATATCTGTGCTTTGTGACAGACTTATGTGATCTTCATTACGTTTTACACGTTTTGCCCTCCTTTAAGCCATTTTTTTTCAATTATCTTAAGTTCCTGAGGAAAGAGACTCCATTGTTGTTTCTTAATTTGAAAATAATTATGTTAGTACAATTCCAAGTAGTAAACTATATACTCACTTGCATTGAACATGAATTTCTTCGGTTTGAGACAACACTAACCCAAACACCACTGATATGCAAACCATGGCAATGTAATAACAACATTTCTCAGCTTCTATTTTTTTTTCATGGATATTGCAAGCGGATGGAGCATTTTCACACATTTTAACCAAAATATCTGCTAGTTAAAAAAAGTGATAACTACAGTTATATAGCATGGTGTTCACCGCCAAAACCACAACAACTTCAGCTGTATTGGCCGCCATTTTCATTATTTTTCTGGTCAAAGCTAACATGACTTTTACAAAAACATAAAATCTAGTGTTATTAAAAAAAAAATGTAAGTTTCAATAAGTTCATTTTCACATTGTCAATAAACAAATAGGTTATCTTTTGTCTTTTGTAGCCTCAAAAGGAAACCAGGATCGTTATTTTACTGTGTAAAAAATAAGCCATATCTTATGGAGAAGCAACAACCTGAAGACTTGACCGAAAAGATGAACCCTGTACAACAAACACAGAGACCTGAGACACTGTCCTCAAAGAAGACCAAGGGCAGCAGCAGCCGAGTAGAGAAGCCATCTGACGCGGCACAGCGACCCCCCACCAGCCTCACCTGGAACCCCTCCCTCCCCCTTGCTCAGACCGTGATGGTTTCTCCTCTGAGTCGGACCGAGGGCCCTTGGAGCCGACCCCTGCCCTCAGAAGGGATTGACCTGGAAGCTCATGTGCAGAAGCTGGCTTTGTTAGAGAAAGAGGCCCAGAAGGTGCGCAGGCTTCTCGGGCTGGAGATCTCCAAGACAACTCAAGGCACCATGACGACTTGCTCCGAATCCACAGCCAGCCGAGCGGTCGGCTGCCAGACGGACGCGGCTGAGGTCAGGAGTTTATTACACAATAGTTTAGGTTCATTTATGTGTTCAGTCTTGTGTGTGTGTTTATCTATCTGACTGTCCGCAACTAATCTTGCATACTGCCGGACCAAAAGGCCTAATATTTATTTTGCATGTTTTTAAATGAACCTTTTGTGGTTTTTGGTGATTCAGAATTGTTAAACAAACATTTGATTTACTTTGTTTAACTTTCATTGATTGCAGACTTGTACATTTTCCTAACTGGCCGATAGGGGTCACAAGTCATCAACAATTGCTAAAGCAACAAAGACATTTCTGGCAATAGTTGACTAAAAACAAGCCTTACAAAGTCTCTTCCAGGCCACATTTTGACCTTTTTATTGTCGGTAAAAAAACGGAAATTCAGAAACAATGTCTCATGACAGATTATTACACACCCAATAGGTTATAATCCATTAAAGTTAGGCAGGATATAAGATGAACCAATACATTTAAATTGTCTTTGTTTGAGATACGAGAGGGAGATATGTGTTAGAGATTTGATGAATCAAAAACCAACACATGAGCGTTATGCTTGACAAGGGAAAAAGGTTTATTTTCTAGGCCATCTGCTCAGACTTATTCATCTCAAATGAAAGACTAACAGCAAACGTGTGCTCTCATTCCTCTGCATCAGAGCTCTACTTCATCCAGGAACCCGGATCCAGGAGATCAGGGGCTGGTCTTCGCTGGTCAGAGATCTGTGTGTGGGCCGAAAGAACAGCCTGAGCACAACATACCTAAAAAGGACAAGACAGGACCTTCTGGCAGGGTGAGAGTCGGGGACAGCGAGGCCTGTGAAGACAACAGGTGTGTATTCTAGACAAGTCAGCTTCTATCCCTACCAGCGCTTCACTGTTTCTACCACTATTACTACTCCAAAAACATTTGAGTCATGTCTTCTCACACTGATTCACACATTGTTTTTGATCTTTGTTTCCCCTGAACATCTTAAATTATGAATGGTTTTAATAATGGAGCTGTTTTTTTATCAGATCTTCCCAGGAGAATCTGCGTGTTATCCGTAACAACGTGGTGGTGCTCCTCACAGCCCTCCTGCCCCAGCTGGACCTGGCGGGCATCAGCCTGGAGACCAGTGACGTGGACAACATCCTGCAGCAGATCATAGAAGTCAACTCGCTGAAACTATCATCAGAACTCCATTAAATCCAACACGTTTTTGATAGCAGAGAATAATGTTTCTTACTATATGCAAAGTTTGGCCTTTAATTGAAAGACGTAGTGTTTAGAGTTATAATACACGCCCTTTTGCTGCTTGCAGACACATTTTCGTTTTGCTCACATGTATTGTTTTGAATCTGTTTCTTTTGCTTGTCAATGTTAAACGTTATTATTTTGGAACTCAAAGCAGATGATTTGCCTCCAGAAGGGTTTTTACTGCCCCATTGCTGTGAAATCTTAGCCTTTTAATGAAAAATTCTGTCTTTATTTTAAAAGTGTGATTCTTTGCTATTTTGCTGTTTTTACTGACTATTTAAATACGTTTTATACACATGGAGTCAAGATGAAGCCATGCTTTTTCTAGATTTGTTCAAACATCCAAAGAGACGTTTCACATTTGCATTAAAATACTGAAACCATTTATTGCAGGCTGCGTCTTCATTTTAAAGGTTTATCAACCTGTGCTTTTCAACAATCCAATGCAAAAGGCAGAAATTATGCAGTAGCTTTTACTTACCACAAGGTGGCTGTGAAGACTAAGAGTGAAGACCTGGTGAAGACGTGCTTCTCTCGAACCAACATTTGGAAAATGTTTAAGTTATGACAACTATGGAAAGTCTCGAATTTTGTAATTGGAATACAATTTTCCTAGAAACTTTAGCAAAGGACATCAGTTAACCTTGAACATAGGCCTATGGCAGTACATTGTAGTTGTTCAATGTGATGTGGTTAATTATCTTTATTGATTACATATTTACAGCACACCACACAATCTGGCATAATAATAAAAAAAGGGTCACATTTTAAACTAAATCTTACAATCAATAACATATTTTTTCCACAGGGACAAAGCAGTATGTCTAATACCAACAACGCTTAGCTATGGCTTTCAACTAAGATTCATACATTGTAATTTATTAATGGTTGGTTATACCAGTTATAACGCTCAAATATAAACAATAATTTCACTCTCGTCTTTTTTGCAATATTGCTTGAATGTAACGTTTCACATATTGGCAATGGCAATACATAAATGTATATGCAAGTATTTTAAATGTTAACAACTTTCTAATTAATTAATTGTTTTCAAGATGGTCAAAATAGGAACAACTTTTCCAAATTATTGGCATACTCGTAGGTATTTGTTCTTGCTTTATGTGTGTTAGGATTAAATGATTCCTCTGGGACAATAAAGTAACACTTGAATTTATCATAGCAGAGCGCGCGCCCACACAGTCTCCAACCACCACACGCCCCCACGTGCAACCCCAGCTCCCTTACTTGTCCTTTCCTCTCTCCACCCCCCCTCCCTTTAAATGTTTCAGCCCGCAGGAGGAGCAGCAGAGCCAGGGCAGTGTTTGAAGAGACTCGGTGCAGATGACCGCCATGAGAGCCGCGACTCTCCTCCTCCTGCTGCTGCCGCTGCTGAGCCCCTCCGCCGGGCAACGGACTCCCTCCGCCGGACTGCAGAGCCCCTCCGCCAGGCAGCATTATTACATAGCGGCGTTAGAGATCGGTTGGGACTACGTTTACCTGGACGATGCTGACCCAACAACCGACCAAAGGTGAGTAATCCCAATGAAGGCATCTCACTCTATTATGTAATTTAGGCGGGCATACATGTAAACCCGTTTAGTTTTTTCAAATCTTACTTTGCTTACAATACACAGTCGTGTTTTGATTATATTTTGTATAAACTCTCAAGTTACAATCTATAGGAAATGTTGATTAAGATGGCTTTTTAGATTGTGTTTTATGGTATGATTGATAACCTGTATTTGTGTCATTACCTTATATCCAATTCAAAATGTATTTTATTCACTAAAAATAGGTTTAAGTACAAGTTTTTAAATATATACTGATCATGAGGGCTGGTTTTAAGTGGTTGTGTTAATCAATTGGTATGGTTTGGTTTCATTGATAGCCTGAATTTGTTTCATGACTTCATAGCCAAACCTTATTTTTGTATATAAAAATCTGACAATAAGTTGTTTTAGGCTAACTTATTTTCCTATTTAAGCTTCTGTTTTGCTTATAATTTATTTGAAACAGAAAACTCAAAACCCATCAGGCTGGTAATTATTCAATGGACTGTTTTTTAAGTGGTTATTTGATTAGTTTGGATTCTTTCCTTTTTCAGGGGGAGATCTAAAGATATTCCTCAGAAATACGTCAAGGCCGTCTACAGGGAGTATACCGATTCCACATACACTGTCCCCAAGATAAGGCCAGCATGGAGAGGTAGGTCTGCTTTGAAAAGGTCAAAATGTAGTTTTTCAGTCAAGACACTCATTTTAAGATATGGATGTTGTGGAAAAATATAGTGTTTGCCTGCATTTTCAACACACAAAAAAACCACGTTATAGTTGTCCTGTTAGAGAGGATGCTTCTTTTGTCCTAAATTAGCAGGTCATGGATGACTAATGTATGCACCTTGTGTCTGGTTGCAGGTATTTTAGGCCCGGTGATCGTTGCCCGTGCTGGGGACAGGGTGGTGGTCCACTTCAAAAACCTGGCGTCTCAGTCCTACAGCATCAGCCCTGTGGGGATCACCTACTGGAAACACTCTGAAGGTAGAGAACTGAATGAAAAGAGCTGAGTTCATCCATTGAACATTTTTTAACCCTAACCCTTGACTCAGCATTTTCACTCATAATTGCTTTTTAATTTGATATCCATGTTACAGCTTAGATGACTCAATGGTAAAACACTTACTTGGACTTCAAAAGCTTTAAGGAGGAAACCAAATTACTCTTACTCATATGATGTTTGTTTTTTTAAGTACATTTTGGGCCAATAGAAATGATGTAAATGAAAAAATAATAAAAAACAGAAATGTATCAGAAGACGAGGGGTTATAAAGAGTTGTATTAAGAGATTCAGAAACAAAGTTGCCTCCTCTTTCTTGAGAAGTGGCAGAGAGCCGTCGGTATCATTATCTTGTGTGTGCAGGTGTTGTGCAACATGTTGGAGCCCAACGGTCAGTCTTACAGCATCATGGCTAGATTTAAGCTGCCATTCAATAACCAAATCCAGCTGAAACACAACTATCCCTCATCTGAGAAGCTTTGTGAAGTTAATACCCTTTACAGAAGGCATTGGCAATTTGTCCCTATGCTCTTGTAGATCCAAAGCAGTCAGTTCCTGTAAACTCCTCATGTCTTCCTGCCACAGGGTAAATTCCTATAATGGAGTTCATTATAATCTGGAAAGCTGCACCTGTCATGTCCAGGACTGAGGTGCCATGAAGCAGATCTAATCACACTTACATGTCGTCACCTTCTTAAACTAATGGCCTAAGTCATATTTGAAAGTTTTTCAAAAAACTGAACCAAATATAGAATATATGATATATATTTATTATTTCACACAAAAAGGTTATGACAATATATGACTATTGACATACAAATAACACTGTCTGTCAATTGTGTAAAATAAGAGGATAAGATGACTTAGGCCAATTTACGAACATATTGTTGTGACTTAAGCAATTTTAAACCTGACTTAGGCCTTATTACTTCTGGAGCAAGTGCCTAAGGCAAAACAGTGCACTTCTCTTTTCCGCATTACTGTGACGGACCATGGGGCTGGGTCAGCCACAAACAGTTTAAAAGGCTAGAGGAGCATACAGACACTCAGGAAACAGAGGGCAGTTGGGCCGTGGTTGGTCCTTTAATTCAATATAGCAAACTCAAAAGGTACAACTTAAATCACTCTTAGCTAAATAAAACAAAAGGCAAGTAAATCAAACGCTGAGGAGGCATGTGCCTCTCCTCACTA